AATTAATGAATTGGATCGAACATATAATTAGTTATTTTATTGTATTTATACTCTTTGGTTGTTATAATCATCGAGTAAATTCTCTAGAAAATGGTCTCCTACGACAACCACCTATGGTAAAATGAATATTCAAAAAAAACAAAAAAAAAACAAACGAATGTCTATTTGTTTTTTATTTTATAAAGGGTTGGTTAACATGGCAACGATTTCGTTGTGTAACTGATTGTCACCTATATCCTGATACATGTATAAGGTTAATTAATATTGAAAAGAAAAAATTTATTTTTTTTATAATTATTTTATAGTGAAAAATTAATTCGAACACAAGCTAAATTATTAGTTGATGGTGGATATTTAGCTGCTGGTTATGAATATATTATTATTGATGATTGTTGGTTAAATAATACACGAGCAGCTGTAAGTTAAAATTGTTTTTTTTTTATTTTGATTTCAAAAAAATAAATAAATAAATAAGATTTTTATAAAATAGGATGGATCATTACAACCTGATAATCAACGTTTTCCAAGTGGAATTCGTGCATTAGCTGATTATATACATTCATTAGGATTAAAATTTGGTATTTATGAAGATTATGGTACTGCAACATGTGCTGGTTATCCAGGTAGTTTAGGACATTTGGAACAAGATGCTCAAAGTAACAAAAAAAAAAATTTTACATTTGATCATATAGAAATATTTTTTTTTGATAATTTAGCATTTGCTTCATGGACAGTTGATTATTTAAAATTAGATGGATGTAATGCTGATATAAAAGATTTTGATACTGGTTATCCATCAATGGAACGTGCATTAAATGTAACTGGTTATCCAATAGCATATTCATGTTCATGGCCAGCTTATCAAGAATTTTCAAAAATGAAACCAAATTATTCAGCTATTGCACAAACATGTAATTTATGGAGAAATTGGGGTGATATTGATGATTCATGGGATAGTGTTTATTCAATTATACAATGGTTTGGTGATAATCAAGATCGTTTATCACCATTTCATGGTCCAGGACATTGGAATGATCCGGATATGGTTTGAAAGAATTTTCTTTTTTGCTTAATATCTATTATGATTAAAAAAATTTTGGTTTTAAATAGATTGTAGTTGGAAACTATGGTTTAAGTCCAGGTCAATCACGAGCACAAATGGCACTTTGGTCAATTATGGCTGCACCACTTATTCTTTCTGTTGATTTAAGAACAATTAGTGATTGGGCACGTGATATAATATTAAATAAAAATTTAATTGCAATTAATCAAGATCCACTTGGAGCAATGGGACGACGTATTCTTAAAGTAATTATATGAATATTGTCTCTTTATATTTCAGCATGACGAGAGAATCATCCAAGCTAATACCTCGCAATTGAATCCACAAAGAAGTTTTAGTAAGACTAGAAAAAGCCTAAAAGTGTTCATTCCCAGATATTTTTGAGTCTAAATTGATTTCATGATCCCCTATTTATATGAATACAATAAGAAAAAAAGATTTTTTTTTTTTTACTTTAGTCATTCTGACTTTCTAACCGAAATATGATCTCAAAAATCTCGAACAACTATCTCTAGACTATGAGATGCATCTTGTGTAGATCTTCGATCTCTTCAACAACAAGAGCAAACATTACCATTTTTTTTTAATCATAAACAGACCTTTACATTAGCTACAAAATACACTTATTATAATTAAAAAACGGTTCAGAGAAGACATCTCATGGTAGCACAGACTGTGATTGGAGCATCAATTTTGACTAAAAATCATTAGTATTTTAAGTATTTATCTTCGAATTCTAGTTAAAATAAAAAATCCAACGTTAGATTCATGCTCAGCATAAAAAACTGAGTCAATCTATGTATGTTTCAAAACCATCCGACAACTTTTATTTTCCTTGAAAAATTTAGCTGAGGTCCTCCTCAGGGATGAGTGAAAATATACACTAATTTGAAACCCAATCATATCTGTATAAACATGTTCGTTTCAGAGTTGTAATAAAATATTAAAGGTCAAGAACTTGTTTCTTATTGTCAAAATTGCATCTTGGATGAATTAATGTTTTGGTTCATCCCTGAAGGAGCCTCAGCTAAATTTTTCGAGAAAAATAAAAGTTATCGGATGACTTTGAAACATACATAGATCGACTCAGTTTTTTATGTTGAACATGAATCTGACGTTGGATTTTTTATTTTAAGTAGAAATCGAAGGTAAATACTCGAAATACTACTGATTTTTAGTCAAAATTGATGCTTTAATCACAGTCTGTGCCACCATGAGATGTCCTCCCTCAGCCTTTTTTTGTAATTGTAATAATTGAATTTTCAAGGGTTGTTTATGATACAGAAATGGTGATGTTTGCTCTTGTTGTGGAAGAGATCGAAGATCTATACTGGACGCAATCTAATAGTCTAGAGATGATTGTTCGAGATCATATTTTGGTTATAAAGTCGGAATGGCTAAAGCAAAAAACGATCATGACTATTCTCGCGAGCGACTTTCTTTGAAAATTTTGTTACTCAAAAATATAATTTACTCTTGTATTTACTCGTTTATTTTAGTTAAATGGTAATGTTGAAGTATGGAGTAAAGCATTGATAAATAATCGTACTGCTGTAAGTTTTGATTTAGAATGTAGTATATGTTTTATTTCGTTTTTTTTAGTTTGTTGCACTTTTTCCTCAACCATATGGAACACCAATTCATATGAGTATAAATCTTACTGATCTTGGTTTAGGTCGTTTTGATGAATATGATTTTTTTGAAACATTCCATGATGAATTTCTTGGTAAATATCATAAAAATGAACTATATAATTTTACAATTAATCCATCGGGAGATGTACATGCATTTTATGTTGAATCAGCAAGTACAAAAACATATCGTCTAGATTTAATATAAACTTTTGTTTTTTTTCTTTAATATTTATATGGTGGTTTCGCACCACTTGTCTTTCGTACGTGATTCATTACTTTTAGCATGGTGATATTCTTATGATTTTTTTCTTTTTCTCTAATATATTCATGCGCTATTTCAATATGATTTTTATTATTTAAAAATAAATAAAAAAGATAAAAAATAAAATTTGAATAAATATAATCGAATTATTATCATAAAGAATTTTTAAACTTCGTCAATGTTGAATGTATAGTAGACTTCCGGCAGTTATCACAGAACAATATCAATTTTGTTGAAAGACTTCAAATAATAGTAAAATACAAAAATTTTCCGTTCAAACTAATTTATTAGAATTTTGAAAGATTATTTTCCTAGTCTTGAATAGAATTTCCAGGTTCATGTTCGAAGAGAGCATTCTAACTCATAGTTTTTAACTTGTCGAAAAACTTTTCGATCGCCCATTATATGCGTACCACTTACCAATTAAGCTCATGTCTAATTTACATTCAATTTAGCGAAATTTCGATTTACCTGTTAATAAAAGACTATGATCTTATTGCTTGTAGATGTTCCATAATGAAAAAAAAATTGATTAAGTTTAAATAAAAGTGAATCTATCATTAGTATTATTATATATAGTGCAAAATATTTATTCACAAGAAAATTATACTGTTTGTAGGGCTACTTCTCATTTGCGATCATAATTCAAATAAAATTTTGAAATACTATGAAGATTTTAAATTTTAGTAAATATTAAAATAAAAATCTCAAACTGTTAGTTTTTCCAAAACGATAAAATTTAAATTAATTTAATTTTCAAGTTGTCGTTGATCAATGCTTCTATTTGAAAATTTTCACTTTCAATTTAAAATCGCATACAGTTTAGCAAGATACAGAGTTCGCTCGTGTTTTCAATGCAGCTTCTATCTATAGATTTAGGAAGATGTAGAGTTCGCTGCTGTTTTCTATACAATTTCTATATTTTAGTTGAGGAAGATGTAGAGTTTGCTAGTGCTTTCAATACAATTTTATATTCAGTTTAGGAAGATGTCGAGTTCGTTTACGATAGCCGTAATACGCCGTAAAGCATCGTTTACGATTGCAGTATATGGCTAACGAAAACAGCTGCCGTTATCCGCCGTAATTAGTTGGTATACGGCCGTGTACGACCGAGCATGATTGACCTGGGAATGTATACGAAACTGTTTAGAGAAGACGTGATCGTTTTCTATGCTCTGAAGAAGAGAATTGAAACATTCAAGGGCAAAAACTGACTCTAAGATCCTGGTAAATTCCAGTCAATTCTTATGTGAACTTAGATGAATTCATTTTAAACTTCGTTGACGTTCACCAGAATTTTAGTATTTTGAATCCAATTTTTTCCTATTCACTAGACAAACAACAGGTTTGCCAAGTTACAAAATCTCTTTCCAAGTTCGGTATTAAATCTTATTTTATCTCGTACGACCAAAAATTATTAGGATTTGTCTGATTAGTATACACACAGAAACACATGATTCATTCATAACACGTCTTTTTATCTTGTCGTCATATTAATACAACTACAATTGTAAGTGGAAAACAAGCATTACATTACTTATATCCTTTTTCATAATGTTCAATAACAGAACAGTGCATGATACGGTCTGTATGATTTCGATTCCTGATAACCACACATATAAAAATGAGAATAGATGTAGAACAGTACATGACAGCATATAATACCAATTCTTGAATTCTAGGCTTTTTTTTATTTAACCCATATACTAGAGACAGTATGTGCAAGTCATAACAGTATTTTACAGTGAAATACACGAGTTTCAATATTTACATGCGTACATTTATAAATTTTTATGAGTCGAGCATAGAT